CTGGGGAATTCTGGGAGTTGAAGTCCACTCATCTTAAAGTGGCCAAGTTTGGACAACACTGGGCTAAGCCGTCCACAGGAAAGTAAGTAACCGTCACCTTTGGCTGAGGAGCAGCCAGGTGGTCTCCTCAGAAGGTCCTCGCGGTTCCAGGGTTGACGGGCACGGTCAACCAGCTCGGGCACGGTGCCAACACAGCAAACGTCGCCTATGAGGTTACCCTGCCCTTGGATGGATCTGGAGTGCAGCCAGAATGATTGCTTCCTAAGAGGAACCTGTTAATATGAGGAAGCTATCAGTCAGAGCAAAGCAGAGAAACTTTCATGAGAGAAATGCCAATTTTGGAAAAAGTGACAAATTGTAGAAATGGGGTTTGTTCCGCGTTAGCTTCGCTATATTTGGGGGAAAACTAGATATAGAGAACTAGTTAATAAATGAAAGGGGATTGCGCAAAATAACCTGAGACTGTGAGGAGGTCATTTCTACTAGCCCTTATTTAGTTTACTTTTGAATTCTTTGATATAAAAATCTAGAGAGAAAGGAGACACAGGTTCCATGCCTGTGTTTAATTTGCCCAATTTCACGATATAATGGGAAACAATTTCTTCTGGAAGTGAAAGTCTAATTGGTACATCTTGTAGCATCTCTTGAATGTAAAGCTCATAGCTTCAGTATAATTGAGGGAGAGAGTATTCAGGCATCATTGTTTCTTTAGAGACAGCCTACTTCTTTTAGGCTTCTTGGTAGCAAAATTACAAGGTCCAGCTCAAAAAGACAAAAGTCCAATGTTAATAGATGTTCATTATTGTTGAATAAAATATTGTTATACGTGTTATTAACACTAAGTTTAAGTTATTATAAAGATGTGAAATTGGATCTCTACTTCGTTTTCTTTGCCTTCCTCATCTGGACCGCAAGCCAAAAGATATGTGAGGAAGTGATTCTTTACCCCCCCCCATCCCCGCAAAAAAGTTATTTAGTGGTGGCAGAATCTTAATATTTTCTTCAACCATCATAAAAAGCTTCCAGCTACTGTCTTGTTCAGCAGTGACATTTTTACAAGATTGCACAGATAGAGCCATTCACAAATATTATTTAAAATTGCACTTGTCGCCTTGTCCCCCGTTTTCTGCAGACTCAGAGATGAGCAGACAGCACTTCAGCTTAGCAGCAGGAAAGATCCCTGCCACCTGTTGTAGCCTAGCAATACCTCACCCAAAGCAAGAGCATTCCTGGAGTAATAATGCTGGCCCAGGTAGGCTGCCACTCCCAAACAGTTGCCAAGGCTATGCTTGTGAAATCGTTAGAGCCAGATCTCATTTGCAGCCTCAAAAATAAGAATCTAATTTGGAAAGAATTCTCACCTCCTTTATTGGCTTTCAGTCACAGTGAAAGATACCCTGAAAGATAAGATATGTACACGTTTTACTTTTCTCGTCCACTTTTCTTCAACTTTGCATTCTTTGCATAAGAGTAGAAAGCCTAGAGAACTCTAGGAGATCTAAGGCACTTCTACATGAAATTCCTGAGCTGGTTTGAAAACAATGGGATACCTTTGTGTTTCCATGACATAATCAGTGTTGATCTGATTTATTTCTAACTCCACAACTGTATATCACATATTGCCAAAATTTTTCTGAGTATTTAGGAAGTAAAACTGTGATGTATTTTTTTCTCAAAAGTGACTGATTTAAGGGAAAAGTATGAAGGTCCATGTATTTTGGAACAAAAGGTCTCCATAAGCAGAGCTTTGGAGTGGCAGTTAGAACTACTTATTATGGACAAGGACATTTCTCCGAACTCTTTCAGACTGGGTCAGAAAAATGATCCAAAATGTTCTGATTTCAGAAGAGGAGATAGAGATGTCAATTAATTTTCAGATTAATCCAAGGCAAGTTTGGAAGAACATCCATTTTTAGTTGGAATTATGATATATAGAGGTGCTCTAGAAGCTTCTGTCCAATTATGTAAGACTTACTCTCAAATCTGCTGTCCCAGATGCCTGTTAGGACTTCGCATCCTGGCTCTGCCTGCTGCTTAGGTATAGTGGCTTGGCAATTCCTGTTGCCATCATTTACCTTCCATGCATTTCCTCCTCTGGCATTCTCCTTTGACATGTGAAAAAGATAAGTCTTTCACAATCCATGATATATTTCTGGCAACTAGAATGTGAAAACAGAAATAAACAATTCCACCTCCTAGCTCTATAACATCAAGACATGTGACTAAAGAATTCAGCTTCAACTTCCTCCTTTTGGGAAATGAAACCAATCTTACAAGGGATAAACAAAATTAATTTTTATTTGGGAAAAAACACAAATACAGTAAGATACAATTGTAGATAAGTTCTGCAAAAAAGGTTCCCTGAAGATTCTCAATAAACAAAATAATATTTTCAGGCATGCTCTGAGGTTTGGTTCAAGGGAGCAGAAAACCCAATTCCCTTAAATTTTTCAGAAAGATAGAAGTGATTGCAACATAAAACAAATCAACCTTAAAATAGTTTCTAACTGAAGCATTTACTTTACAAAACATAGGAAACCCTTGAATCAAATTTCCCTTTCTATTCAAATTTGCTAGACTTCCTCTTATTTTCCTGAAGTTCCAAATTTAATCTGGTGTTCAGAGAATTATGTCTGTTCTCTCTTTTTTCCCATCTTACAGCCATTTTCCTCCCTTCCATCAGGAGTTCTGCCTGTAGTTTTTAAAATAATAGTCTTTTTTTTTTTTTTGGTCTTGGAGGGAAGGGGGGGGAATTTGTCTTTGCCTACTTGACAGAGAGATCAACTCACACACACACCCCCCAAAGATTTTGCATAAGACAGAGAAACTTGAAATGCAAGCTGGCATTCTTGTTGCAGTCAGGTTGGCACACACAACACATTGTTTAAGTCTTTGCCCTCACTAGAGTCCCTGCCTATATGAAGTACTCTATTCTTATTAGCAATTTTAAAAAATAGTATAGCTTTAACATATAGTTGGCTCTTAGTGTTTTTTTGGCTGATAACAAGATGCATGCCTGTTTCAAACGTCTTTGATTTTTTAAAAGCCATTTTATTGCAATTGATTTGTATTATTGCATTTAATTTGCAAGTATTTTTCATCAGGCAGGAAAAAAAAACCCCAAGTACTGTAACTAAAAGCATCATGTTTACAAAGAGTTTAATTTGAGAAGCTTTCAGAAGATTGGGTTGGTTCTCTACATCTATCCAAAGAAAATACAAAGCATTCCAGAATTGGAAATAAGAGGATTTAAATGGCAAACTCCAGGCTTGGTTTTCATCTAAGCAGAATGGCCATTCAGGCACCATAGAGTGAAAAGTAACTATGTGAGGAAGAGAAACAGACAGACCATGAAAGGGAAATAATTCAATAACATTATTCACTAGCAACTTCAAATAGAAATATTTGCTAATATTGTCAGTGAACATGCTTTTATCTAACAAAAAGGAAGTGAGATTTGACAGAAATTATATATGTGGTCCAGTTTTAATTGGGTCACTTGTCCAATAAGAGACATGTTGTTTAAAATGAAGGGGTGTAATTGAACTACATTAGAAACAAAAGATGAACACAATAGCTTAGTGAAAATAACTTTCATAATAATATATATCATTACATCAAAGAATGCATATCTTCTGATAATTCAGAAATGGAACTTAGAAACTGATAGGTAGAATTTGATAGGACTTGCCTCCATGGTTCAAAGATGTGCTCAATAAATCTCCAGATATTATTTATATAGCTTCCATATCGCCCTGCCTCAAAATGGCAGGACATTGAGCCATCAATTTTAAAGAACAATGGTAAGAGGTCAGAAGGAGTCTGGTAGCACCTTTTCAGACTAACAACACAGCTCTTCTCCCAGAAAAAATGAATTTGGGGGCCACACGCATCCATCTCTTTTATGTATTAAGCATTTTGCTCTAACAAGTAGTGTATGTAATTCTCTTTTTGTGATGACAAAAGAACTCTTTTAGATGCAGTTCTCTCACTAGTACATTTTAGGTAGAAATTAAAAAAAAAATCCAATGGTTCATTTCCAGGCAAGTTGAGGCAGACTGAGTTCACCTACCTGTTCTTTAAACTGCTTAGGTCTGACTGCAAAATTTAAAACAAAAGAGGGTGGTGTTTTACTTGAAAAACATGTCCTGTTATACTAAGTTGCCATAGTGAACCTTTCAAAATGAGTCTCTGGTGCTACAGTAAATGAATGGCCAGACTGTGTAGAAGTTTTTAGCATAAGGTATGAACATAGAAATAAAAAGCAATCCACTAGTACGCTAAGATCGTCAAGCCCTACACAGCTGGGCAAGGTCAAGGCTGCAAGAATTACAGAGACTTCAATCAGGTGCTTTTAATGTCAGTATTAGGGATAAACATAGACTCTTGGAAATTGCAAAAGGAGTTTGCAACCCTCATTTATTAGTGATTTCATCCAAGTGAATCTCTCAGAAAGTTTTGAATTGGTTTTTCCCAAATGTGAGAGATTGTAGGGAGGTTGAGAAAGGAACAGAATGCTGACATAAACCCCCATGAGATAAACCCCCCTATCTCATAAATG